AGCTGAAGTCTCTGCAGGATGTTTCAGCTCTTTATAAGCTGAAGTCTCTGCAGGATGTTTCAGCTCTTTATAAGCTGAAGTCTCTGCAGGACATTTCAGCTCTTTATAAGCTGAAGTCTTCAGGATGTTTCACCTCTTTATAAGCTGAAGTGTCTGCAGGATGTTTCAGCTCTTTATAAGCTGAAGTCTTCAGGATGTTTTAGCTCTTTATAAGCTGAAGTCTTCAGGATGTTTCAGCTCTTTTCAAGCTGAAGTTTTCAGGATGTTTCAGCTCTTTATAAGCTGAAGTTTTCAGGATGTTTCAGCTCTTTATAAGCTGAAGTCTTCAGGATGTTTCAGCTCTTTATAAGCTGAAGTCTCTGCAGGATGTTCTAGCTCTTTATAAGCTGAAGTCTAGGCAGGATGTTCTAGCTCTTTATAAGCTGAAGTTTTCAGGATGTTTCAGCTCTTTATAAGCTGAAGTCTTCAGGATGTTTCAGCTCTTTATAAGCTGAAGTCTCTGCAGGATGTTCTAGCTCTTTATAAGCTGAAGTCTTCAGGATGTTTCAGCTCTTTATAAGCTGAAGTCTTCAGGATGTTTCAGCTCTTTATAAGCTGAAGTCTCTGCAGGATGTTTCGGCTCTTTATAAGCTGAAGTCTCTGCTGGATGTTTCAACTCTTTATTAGCTGAAGTATTTTTAGCGACTCGCAGCTCTTTGATGTTCGGCTGTTTTTGCCTCTGACCTCCTTCACAGTGAATAAAAATAGAAGCCTTCAGGAACAGTTTCTATTATTAGGATTCTATTTTGTCCCTCAGATCAGTGTCTTGTCGCGGTCCTGTTGTTGAGGGACGGACAGATCTGGGACGCAGAGACGATCAGAGTCCAACAGAAGCAGAAGAAGTTTGGAGGAGCTGAACTTCAGCTGCTGCAGAGCGTCTGAGTCCTCTGTGATCTGCAGCCATGTCTCTTTGTGGCTCCGCCCACCGTCACCGGCCTGTCCTCGTCCTCCTCTGTGTCGTGGTGGTGATGATGTCACTCCCTGCCTGGGCCCTGGACTCAGAGACGTGTTTCTCCAGGCAGCACCAGAGCGTGACGGTGAACGTGAGGCAGGCCCTGAGCCGAGCGGCGGCCATGAACCCTCGCCTGGTCCACTCTGAGCCGGACTGTGTTCTCGCCTGCTGCTCCGAGGACGTCCAGCCAGGTGAGACAGGAAGTAGGACCTGTAACGCTGTCTCGCTCTGAATGATTGACAGTCCTGACGGGCTAACAGCTGAACTTTGTGTTTCTGAAGGTTCCCGCTGCAACATGGCCGTCTTTAAGACCGTCCAACTGTCCAACGATGAGAACTGTCTCCTGTTCCACTGTCCCACCGAGCTGGACTGTCCCCTGATGAAGGCTCAGGACGGCACCAACACCTACAACATCTACAAAGGTTTGTTTGTTACAGACTGATGAGTCCAACAGGACTTTGTTCATTAGATTTCTGTAGACCTCCAGACCTTTGGGGGTTCAGGACTTGTAGGACCTGAACAAGAACCCTCTGCTGGACTAAACCTCTCAAGAAGACAAATCTTTTCTATTTACAGGTCTGACTCATCCGCCCACGCAGAGGTCTGTAACGATGACAACCACCGTCCAATCCACGACCGCGTCCGTACCACCAACCACTGACCACATCACCACACAGGCTCCGCCCACCACCACACAGGCTCCGCCCACCACCACACAAGCTCCACTCACTATTACACATGCTCCACCCACCACAGAACCTCCTCCAGCCATCCTCATTGTCACCTCAACACCTGCAGTTAGGTTACCAACGACCACAACAACAACAACAACAACAACAACAACAACAACCGAAGTCTCTCCAACGCTCGACTCAAAGAAACCAAACAAAAGCAGCAAAAAGCAAAACAAAACCACAAAGAAAGGAAAACCACATCCTGTCAGCACCACCCCCCTCTTCATGACATCACTTCCTGTTCTAATGGTGACCAAAGAGGTGGAGCCTAGAACTATGGACACCACACAGTCCCACACTGAAACTACAACTACAGCTCCTCCCAAAACTTCTCCCACAACCATCAAAACTCCTCCTACAACTACAGCTCCTCCCACAATTCCGCCCACAACCACCACAACTCCGCCCACAACCACCACAACTCTGCCCACAACCACCACAACTCCGCCCACAACGACCACAACTCCTCCTACAACTACAGCTCCGCCCACAACCACCACAACTCTGCCCACAACCACCACAACTCCGCCCACAACCACCACAACTCCTCCTACAACTGCAGCTCCACCCACAACCACCACAACCCTGCCCACCAGCACCACTACTACTCCAACAACTACTCCGCCCCCTCCTGAGTCGAGCAGCCCCACAGCTCCACCCAGTCTCATCATCATTCCCAAAGACATCTTCCAATCAGATCACGTCCTGCAGTCTGGCCACGCCCTCCAGAACTCCAGCACCAGCCAGGGGAAGGGGGCTCAGGGGGCGCTGAGGAGCGGGCTGGTGGTCTTCATGGTGCTGGGGCTGGCCGTGCTCACGCTGGCCTTGGCGGTGGGCGGGCGGAAGGCGATGGAGTCCTTTGATCGGCGCCATTACACCAGACTGGAGCTGAACGACCTGCACTATGAGATCTGAGGCAGGAACCGTCTGCCTTCCTTCTGTGGTTGGTGAAAACTTTACAGCACAACACTGGAGCGGCTCCTCGCACGGCGCTCAGATACTGAGCTGTGATTGGTCAGGAGGTCTGCAGGTTTCCTCAGTCTTCTTAAAGGGTCTGTGACATCAATTTTTCCAAATACACATGAATGCATTTTTGGAAAGATAACATTGATAACATGTTGCAAAACTAATTTCACGTCACTCAGATGAACGGTTGTTGAGATATTTACATGTGACATCACTTCCTGTTTCTACAGGAAGTGATGTCAAAAAGGAATGTCTGCATGTAAACAGAGTGTTGTTATAAAAGCTAACAACACAGACTGTAGAGAGGAATCTGATGTTTCTTTACATTATTTTTAGTCTCTATCAAAGACAGACGAAGTTGAAATAATATTGTTTTAATAAACAGAAACCAGCAAGTTTATTTTATTAATGAGTTCCCCTTTGATGTCACTTCCTGTTTCAATTTGGCTGAGACATATTCAAAAGAAAATAGGCCAGTTATGAGACAAAATGGGTAAAATCATGTGTATTAGAGCAATCTTCTTCAGTATAAAGATGTTTTATTTGACTCTGTATTTGAAGGATAGTCGTGTCACAGACACTGTAAAGTCTTCATAAAACCCTTTGGAGATTTTCTTTTTGTTAAATCATTAAACACATTAAAAACTGCTGCGTTATAAAACAACAACCCTGTATTTAACTCAGAAGTTTCTTTTCACATGAATTTTACTTAAAATTACTTACTTGTTGGTTAGGGGTTAGGGTTATTTATTAAAATAATTGGTAACATTTATTTTTTAAAGGATTGACTCTTTGACATCACTTCCTGTTATTTCACATGCAAATATCTCAACAACTGTTCATCTGACCAACCTGAAATTCATTTGGTAATATTTTAACAATGTTGTTTTTCCAAAAATACATTCATATTTCTTACAAAACTTTGATGTCACAGGCACTTAAAGGTTTCATCTACAGCAAAACTCCAAATTTAGGTTGTTTCCAGATTTCCAGAAATTAAGTTTAAAACTGACTGCTAAGAATGTTTTTTTTTGCTATATTTGACAAAATAGCAGTTAGATATGGATAAAAACATTTGGTCTGTTAGCAATATTTGAATAATTCAACCACAAATGCTTTGATTCATGAGTTTCTGCCACAGTTTTTATTTTTTGTTATTTGTGTTTATTGTGAAATTGGTCTTAAATTTAATTTCACTTGGCATAAAAAGTGTTAAATTTAACTTGCCTTAAGCTGTAGGAACCCTGTATTAAACATCTGTTTTTCAGGAGCTGCTATGTGGGATTTCTGGAGTTTAAGCCCCGCCCACTTTCCCGCTAGTTTTCGTTACCTTCAGTGAAGCATCAAATACTTATTAACACATTTTTTAAACAGTGATTGTTTGGACACTTTAGCAACAAGAGTCCACGCCAGACAAAGAAATGTATTTTTATTTTCCACTCACGAAAAAGTCATCTTAGATGAAGGGGGCGGGGCTTAGAATGTGGACCAAATATTGAGACACTCCCACTATGCTCTGATTCGTCAGCTCCAGCGGTCTGTTAAAGGACTGCCCACTTTGTGGAGAGGGCGGAGCCTGCAGTTAGGACCCGCCCCTCAGCATGTAAACATTAATTTAATGAGGACTTTAACAGGAAACAGCTGTTATTTTAAGTTTTATTGCTAAACAAAGTGTTTTTATTCAACATGTTTATGAGTCACATCACGGAGTTTGTTTATTTCCATTTATTTGAGTTGATAAATTTGTTGAACAGAATAATTAAAATGCAGTTAAAGCTCATTAACTGCTTTGTTGCACTGATCAGACACTCCTTTAAAAACAGCAGTTTTCTCTTATTTTATTCTGAACTCTGATTATCTGAAAGCTCTCTGACGTTTTGTGTTAAAAGGAAAACGAGTGACCACTCAGTGAGCTTGATCAGGACAGCCCTGATGCTGGTTCTGTTGGAGGAGAACCTGCAGTCAGAGGTTTACAGACGGTTGGACCAGAAATGTTCTTCACAAGTGGTTTTTGTTGACGTGTGGACGTCCAGCTGTCCCACAGACCTCGCTGTCCTCGCTGACGGTGGAGGGACGTGAGGACAGAAAGACAGCAATATTTAACACTCAGGAAGCCTCTGAAGTGGAGCTGAGGTTCACSTTTCCTTCAGCTCGTGGTGATCGGTGTCGATGTCACGTTCACTTTGTCACTGTGTGTTTTTAAGATTTTATCCACTTTTCTCTTCTACCACACGATGGATGCAATCCTTTGATGCACTGATGTGTTTTTGATAAATCTGATATATGAGAGGACACAGRCTGAGCACTATTTTCTTATATTAATCACATTTGTACCTGCTGCTGCAGCCTCCCACCACCAGGGGGCAGCACTGGCCTCAGAGTCTCTGCTGAACWCAGTGAGTGGGTCATCTTTAAGACGGGACTGACGTTCTGATCCAGTGTCAGGAAGTGACTGTTCTAAAACACAACCATTAATAAAGTGTGGCTGCCCCATCCGTACTGTCCTGGAAACGTTGTTTTTAGCATGTAGCATTTAGCTAAACTGATGACAGAATTCGTTGGATTTCAGTCTTTCATCACCTGCAATGTTTCATAGAAAAGACAACGTTTGCAACAGCTGTGGATTTTTATTCCAGGAAAAAAGATAAAACGAAGATAAGATGAGCTCTAACATGATTGTCTAGAAAATAGCTAGCAAGTTATTATAAATAAATATGTACGCATCATAAATTTTATTAATCAAAATGTTTACAATATTAAAACTGTTTTCAGAATATAATGTAACCCAACTTTATAATTAAGTATAGAAATAAATATTTTCTGTATTTTTTCCTAAATCGAGCACATTCCAGAAATCGCTCATTTAACACACACAAATTATCTGACGGTACGGATCATGTGACTGAGAGGATCGGGCAGTCACAAAAATAAACCAAGAGTCTTTGTTTCCTCTGTTCTTCAAATTCAATGTTACCTTTTTAATTAGGAACACCTACTTTCTGACTCTGTAGACCGAACCAATCACGTTCCATCAGGCCAACCGCCCATTCAGGATGGACCCTCCTACTTTGAGAATGCTCCGCCCCGTTCAGGATGGACCCTCCTACTTTGAGAATGCTCCGCCCCCGTTCAGGATGGACCCTCCTACTTTGAGAATGCTCCGCCCCCGTTCAGGATGGACCCTCCTACTTTGAGAATGCTCCGCCCCTTTGGGTTGCAGAGACCTCTGCTTGGCCCAGCGCGGCCTCCCTCCACCGGGGGGCAGCAGCCTGAATATTTCCACAGATGCTGATAGTTTGGTCTCGTTTTGTGAAGTGACGCTTTTACATAAGTTTGAATTTGATGTTTTGTTGTAAAGAATAATAAAATTTGTGATTTTTGATCATTCTGTTTGTGTTTTATTACAGATGACTTTTCTTCCTGACAGGACATGAAACAACTCACAGTATGAATCAGAGGGTCAGTCTGATCTGTAAATACATGATGGGTAACCATGTAATCATCTGTGAAGTTCACCCAACATGGCTGCCTCAGACATGAGTGAACACATGAATGGTTGTAACTCAGTCAGGTTTACAGACAGAAGCTGAAACAACTCATTTCTGAGCACAGCACATATTTTACATTAAACCTGGGCCGACACACGTGGTTTATATTACTGATATAAAAGACATTCCTTTCAGTCTGTCTTACTGTTATACTTTTGTTTTTTTCTTAAAGTAGTTGTGAGACTTTACTCGGTTACAACAATCCAATTATGACATTTATAATGTTTATTTACTTGACACAGCCTTTAATTATTTTGTGTTCAGACGACGTTGTGTTTGGTTCTGGCCTCCACAGCTGGAGGACATGAGCCACATCCAACTCAGAGATTTAAATTTAACAAATAAACAATTAATCTGTCTTTCTAAAATGGTTTTAATGTTATAAGACATTCACTGAGTAATAAATTAGTTTTACTGCCTTAAAGAAGGACATGCATGGATCAGTGAGGACCATTGATA